TTTGTTCAGTATGGAAGACATGGGGATGAGGGTCGAGGACAACACTGATAATGGGTAATGTGGATTGTAATAATGACAGAAATAGTTCAGATATTTTTGCCATAATTAAGCAGTCCTATTTCTGGCAGTAAGTACTCTGTTATAACCAGGTTTTAGCTTCAGTATGACAAGAGTGGGACCAGCAGGACCTATATGAAATGTCAAGTTACCTGTCAACACTATCTAAGTTAAGTCAGAATGACAGTAACACACTGATTGGCGTCTTGTTCTTTATTATGTCACACTCTGGTATGAAAGCACTTCTGAAAGAACTGGTTTCATTCCTCAAAGAGAAACTCCCTTTTCTTGCTTTTCCAGCCTCTGATGAGAAATACTTACCTATATTTACCTAAGTGGAAGGAGAGTGGTTTTCTGTGATGGTGACGCTTCATCAAAGACCACAATCATACCTCTCTCTGCATATTTAAAGAATTAAAATACATATTTTTTATATCTCTTCTCATAACTGTGGTACTCCAACAACAAACTAGGCCGCTCTCTGAATTCCTGCCCTGTGACTCAGGTTTGAGGTACAGCAACTGCTTCGGGTCCTGAGCACTAAGCACATTAGCAGATTTCTGAGGAGATTGGAAAACCAGGATCCTGACCGGTACCAGGAAATACTCCCCCACCCCCACCCCCCCACACACAAACCTTCTTCAAGGAAAATAAGACAGTCAGGAGAAGGATGATATGATGTTATAAGCTGAGGATGATGAGTATGGTTACACAGCTAGAACTCTTAGACAGCAGTCCAATTACCATGTAAACAATAGACAATATACCAGCCTGTGAGCTAGAAACATTCAGCAGCCAAAGAGGGGGGGGGTGGAGACAACTGAGCCACAAAACACACGAGTGGATCTGTGAGCAGAGCTGAAATAACACTCTGATGCTTCGGGCTACGTGAGTTTGGAGAACAAATTTACATGATCATTCAGAGCTCATTTTGCTGTACTTGTTGTAGCGAACTCCTTCCCAGTATTAACGTAGAGGGACCCATTAACTACTTTATGATAAGTAATCTTACTCGTTATATCCCTGCAACTTGAAACAACGCTGAAAACACGTTATGAACAGACATCAAAGTGCATCGATAAATCTGTATTTAATTAGGAGTGCTGACCGCGGACTGAAGGGAAGCGCTGATAATGGGCTGAAGGCAGGGGCTACTGTAAATACTGCATACTGCACATTTATTTATTTATTTATAAGATTGAAGACTTATCTAAATGACATAGTTTGCTCCGTGTGTTTTCACTGAACACCGTGTATTTTCTAAACATGCGTGAAATAAGTACGGAGGCTTTCTGTGGACTGGGCACAGGAAAACGCCGCGCGACAGGTGGTGTTTCAGCTGTACAACACGTCCCGCAGGATTCACAGAACGCTGCTTTGTTAGAGAAACAGTGAGTTTGCCGGCTTTTCTTGGCGGAAAGAATTACATCTGAATTTCGAAGCGGAACATAATCAACAAAAAAACAAAAAGACCTTTAACTCGTGCACAGCAGCCACACAAAGAACAGGCAGCTGAACTTTAAACTTACTTACCTCTTGCGGATTGTGGGTTATTTCACTTTGGCAGAAGAAACTCCCACTGCTTCGTTTACTTGTTGAATGTGTGAGAGCATTATTGCTCCGTGTCGGCGTTACTTTCGGTTGTTACACGTTGTCAGTGTTACTTTTTCTCACTGTGTCGGCTGAAGAAAAAGATTCCACCCAGCTGTAGCTTCCTCCATGGTCCAAGCTCATCTGAGGAGCAGACTTTCCGTCTGAGTGTGAAAACGATCCGCAAGAAGAAACGAGTTCCGCTTTTGTTTTCAAAATAAAATACCTAACGCTCATGTCAAGACATCCAAAGAGCGAAATTAAGTTCAATGATCTGTGCTGTTTCCAAAAGCCTTTCTTTACATGCTATATAAAAAAAATACATTAAAGAAAACGAAGGTTCCGCTGAATAATAACAACTGTCGTGTTACTCAAAGTACACTTTGGAGTTTGGACAGATTAAATAAGCAATGTTTGCAAATAAACTATGTTGTTCTTTACACTTTCGTGAGCAGTTACAATCACAGTAACAGTAGAGAATTTCAAAAGAATTTCCCCCCACAACACGCAAAAGCAACAAAAACAAACTCAAAATTATTTTTCTTGTCACGTGTTCCATTTGGGAAAACCGTATTGGTCCGAAGTTTTTGGCTTTAATTCCTCTGGAGTCGACAAAAGTGTACTCTTAACACACAAACTTAAGAACATTTTAATCTAGGGCCATAATATGGACATATGTTAAAAACCCTGTTGTACAGTTCTCCCGACTTCTTCTGTACACACTGTTAAGTCAATTTCTTTAAATACTCTAGAATTTGGTATATACTTTTGTGTTTACATCCCTTCAGAGTGGCTTCTTGACAACCGTCCATTCTCAAGGACATGATTTTTCACATACTGTTTATCTGCTGTAGATAGTTTTTAGACTTTCCACTTCTTCTTTGCGTTGTACCCACCATCACCTCCGTCATCAAGAAAGCCCAGCAGAGGATGTACTTCCTGAGGCAGCTGAAGAAATT